GAAATAACGTGAATCAGGTCTTTGATACAGGCGCAGAGGGGTGGGAGTAGAGGAAGAAGGGGGGAAACCCCCCAAGCAATGATGTTCAAGTAAGGAGCTGAAAAAATATTACAAAATCTTAATCCGCCCAGGGAGACCTTCTGGGGGATGGGAAGATATCTTTCAAAAGCAGAAAGAAATTGCCTAATTAGATTTTTTTTAAAAAAAAAAAAATGGATAATTGCCTTCGTGTGCTTTCAAAGGCAGCTTAGCAACCTTTTAACATCCGTATGCACTGTGTGTAATGGCAGAGCCTTTCTGAAAGGGGTTTTATACCTTTCCCAAAGAGCAGCTGACAGTAAACCCTCAGCAATACAGATGGGGGCGTAATGGGCACTTGGGTGTCGTTAGTGAAAACACTATTCAAAGTTCGCTGGTCAATACGTGTTCACATAAAAGGGCAGCGTTCTAATATTCATAATCCCTGGACCCATGGGGCAGGGTTTTTAATGAAAGTCTGTACAGTTCTGGGCTCTGCAACATCAAAGAAGCCAATAAAAAAAGACCCTCCTAGTGTATGCTGACAGGCAAGAGGCATACAGCAAACCAGAATGGGGAAAGGCACAGTGTCGTTGCAGGGATTGCCTCAACAAGCCAATCCTTTAATTAAAGGGGGGTGGAGGTGGCCAGGAGGGGGAGGGGGGGCTCACAATCAGGAAAACACTAAAAAACAAACTGCACACTGCCTGACAAGAAAAGCCATGTGTTTCCGCAAGAGGCTCGTGCAAGAAATAAGAAACAGATGTGGGGGCTGAAGGAGGGTGCGCTGGTGAGAGCCCGGCAACCCTGCAGTCCATACATGCTTTGAATGACAGGATGCAGCTGCTGGGTGAAAGCCAGCCCCTCCTGAAGAATCAGCTGTAAGAGGGCGAAGGGTGTCATTCCAGACTGCAGGATTCCTTGGCAGTCAGTCTCACGAGGTACGGAGAACGGAAGCACTGGAAACAAGTGGTCTGTGACCAACTGTGGTTCCATGTCACTCCCATCATGCCTTGTGATTTTGCTTTACTGTTGTACTTCCTTCATAGGCAATTCTTCATTCTGTTTCCTACCATATGCGAATGAGAGAGTTTTGATAAGTGAGGCCCCAGTGAACCCAGGGGGACACTCCGCTCATGGTACTTCTTGAGAAGACTGAGGTCCTTTCTATTAAATTAGGAGCCGGTGACTGTCATCCCTGCTTCTGTCTCCTCAGGATTAGACTACTGCAATATGGTGTACGTGTGTCTGCCCTTGCAGTTTGGTGTAGAGGTTAGGGATGCGGACTCTAATCTGGGAGAACCAGGTTTGATTTCCCACGCCTCCACATGCAGCTGCTGGTGTGACCTTGGGTCAGTCACAAGTTCTTTCAGAGCTGTTATCGTACAAGCAGTTTCCGTCAGAGCTCTCTCCGCCCCACCTACCTCACAGGGTGTCTGTTGTGGGGAGGGGAAGGGAAAGGAGATTGTAAACTGCTCTGAGACTCCTTTGGGTAGTGAAGGGTGGGGTATAAATCCAATCTCTTCTTCTTCAATCTATTTACAAGATTTTGCTGATGCAGAATTGCAGTGACTTACCTCTTAACACTGCAATTCTGCATCAGCAAAATCTTGTAACAGGAGCTGCGGTGGCTCAAGTGGATAAGACGCTGAACTGCAGGCTGTGGAAGGTCGGTAGGTCAGCAGTTCGAGACCCGAGTGTGCCGCATGACGGAGGGAGCTCCCGTTTCTAGTTCCAGCTCCTGCCAACCTAGCAGTTCGAAAGCAAGAAATTGCAAGTAGATAAATAGGCACCACTTCGGTGGGAAGGTAACAGCGTTCCGTCCGCCTTGGTGTTTAGTCATGCCAGCCACATGACCACGGAAACGTCTTCGGACAGCACTGGCTCTTCGGCTTTGAAACGGAGATGAGCACCGCAACCCTAGAGTCGGATTCGACTGGCTGTCGAGCAAGGGAACCTTTACTTTTACCTTGCCTCTTAACAGGCAGGCTGCAACAGCACATTACATGGAGGTTCTGCTGTCTGCACTGGCTCCCTATTCTGTTCCAGATGCATTGCAGGGTGTTAGTTCTAATCCACAGAGCCTGAAGACTTATGACTGCCGAGATCGACTAAGGGTGCCCTCTGAGCAACACTGTTCCTGCACCAGGGACAGTCAACAAGGGCATGGGACGTTCTTGGTGGCTGTAGCTCAGTTACAGAACCCCGTCTCACCACAGGCATGCCAGATTTCCAACCTGGGCCTTCTGGGAAAAGATTCAATACTCACTGCTAAATTAGGAAAGGGTGGGGAAATTTCACACAGAACAAACTTATTCTGTTTTGCAGAATAAGATTTTGGGATCCCAACTTTGGGAAGGGCTTACACATCACACTCAGTAAATGGGACACCTACTTTGGAGAGAGTATTAACCCCATTCTTCTGCCATATCCACGTGTCTATGAACGACATTCACTCACGGCATAAACAGCAGGGGAGAAACTCAAATTAAGGGATGAAAGTGTTGCAGGGCCTGAGAACTGGGAGAGCTATCACAGCAGTCTGCAATGTAGATAAAAATTAGAAGGAAAGCTGGCAGATTTTGGTGCTCATATGCATGTCGATGCACACGGGGGAAAGGGATTACATGGCTGTTCTCCACAAACAAAGGGCGTGATTTGTCTCCCTCCAAGGCAGCTATTTTGCAATAATCCAAGAATGGACACCTTTTCAGCTCTCAGGGCTACATCATAAATATACCAAGAACTGGAAGGCTATAGCTAATTTTTATATTTCAACTGCATATAACTAACAATCTGCACACCAGTTTTATGAGTCTGGAAGATATCTAGGTACAGTCGGTGCACATGCTATCCCTATACCACCATATCCTTATGCTGAACTGGGTATCTTAAAACCTGACATACTTGATCCAGCCCTTTGAATTTTTAGCTAAAACTGACAAAAATCCTAAAAATTGTGTTTTAAAAAATGAGAAAAGGGGGGGGGGGAATTTCTTGGTATATTTTCTAAACGTATTGCTGCTACTATGAAGGCAAGCAACTTTTTAAACATGCGTAAACTGGGATCCTTAGCACCTTACAAGAGACACCAAGTGTCAATGCCAGCCAACACTTGGCAAAAGCCAGGCATGTGCAAGACTGAGTCCCAGATTCACTGTGCTGCAGTGAGGATGCTTCCCAGTTTTTTCCCCCCTCGGAAAGCAAAATACAGAGAAAAGGAGAGTGGAGCAGACCCCAAGAAATCTGTTGCAATTTTTAAAAAGTAATTTAGGCACATAAACCAGAGAGAGCCTCTTGAGAGCCACAAATGCTCTGAAACGATATAAGATTCTCCGATTCAACGGGATTAATTAAACCTATGAAGCTGCCTTTCCCCTAGTCGGACCACTGACCTATCCATTGCAGTGTTTTCTCCTCTGATGGACAGTAGCTCTCCGTGGTCTTTGGCAGGGAAAGGCCTTTTGCCAACAACTGTTAACAAAAATCTTTTAACCGGTGCCAGAGATTGAACCTGGGCTCTCCTACACACAACTCCCCACCACTGAACCATGGACCCTCCCCAATTAAATTCTGACCAGGTATTCCCTTCTCCAGGGCTGCGCTCTTACCTCAAAAAGGCCATCACAGAAGGCCTTACACAGCCATTCCAACTGCACCCCTTCACCCTGGACACTGCATGTTCTGGGGACAGGAAAGGTGTTCAGAAGCCACGGATAGCAAGAGGTGTGTGAAAGGCCAGCGGCTGCATTGGTGAGTGAAACCCAAGAGTGAATCTTACTGGCCAGGGCTCTAGCCACTCAGAAATGCTCCAAACCACAGCAGGGCCACAACGGACACCTCCGAGGGAATACGGGCCTGCCTTTACCTGCTTCCATCCTTAGCCTCCGCAAGGATACTTGAAGGCACTCTCACACATAATAGGTGGGAAAGGGGCGGGGGAGATAAGCACATGGGAATGGGACCTGGCCTGAGCAAAGGGCCAGCAGAGGGTCAGAAGACACCTGCCTGCAGGGGCCTGGGAGGTGGGGCTGCAGCTGCAGCAAGGCAGGCTAGGTCACCATGCCATCCACTGCCTTAGCAAACAAACAAACAAACAATAATGCAAACCAGGCAACAGAGCCGAGGCGTCATCACAGGCTTTTGTCAGGGTTGAAACTAACCCCAAATTTATATCCCAGATACAGAGAAAAGAGGGGGGGGGGAGCAGGCTCCCATAAATCTACATACTTCTTCGAACATGACGAGTGGGTCACCACTGAAACCTTGGAAAATACATCAGTAGAGAGGCTGGAAACCCAATATAATAGTGAAACACACAGTATATAGGTGAACACACAGAAATTAACTGTGCGTGGCATCAATACCAATTCCAAAAACCAATAATTAATAATAATAAACAAATAATTCATTTATAGACAAAAAATTAAACCATTTATACAATCTCCAAATCCTAAGCAAAATTATTCATACAACACCAATTCATAATCAGGGCATATAAATGGTTTATTTTTTTGTCTATAAATGAATTCTTTGTTTATTATTATTAATTATTGGTTTTTGGAACTGGTATTGATGAGAGGCAGGAAACAGCAGAGTGTTTGGGTGCTGGTGTCTTTCATACAGGTGGCCTGGACAGTGCCATCTCAAGAGGAGTGTTCATACAGAGAGGCTTTGCTGAAAGGGGACTGTGCAGTTCCTAACATGTTCACCAGAGGGCAGTATAAGCTGGGCCACTCTACCTAGCAAATCTCCCCCACAAAAGGACCAAAAAACATGCTGGTGCCCCATCTTGTACATTTCAAAGACAATCCCCAAGGAAAAACATGAAAGGACAGCCTTCAATCTTTGTGGAAACATGCCCTCTCTTTTTGGTTTGGTTTGTGGTTTGGCGTGGATTTGTCTGACATGGTACAAAAATACCTGAAGACATTTGATTCGGTCCTTTTGGAGTCAGGCGAGGCCAGGATCCGAATACATACCTGAGATTCTGACAGAGTCTGGATCCAGTATGTTCTTTATCCCTTCTGGCAGCTTGCCTGGTTCCACAGCTTCTATTTTTGCAGGGGTATCTTCCACTGCTGATAAGGTAGTGTAGGTACTAATGACCAGAACGCCCAAACCGATCCATAATATGATCTGGTACAAAGAATTTATTAGATCCCTTAATGCAAAGTACAAAAAAAAAAGGAAGAATGGAAAGAGAAAGATATGTAACAAAACTCCCCCCCAAAAAACTAGAGGCCTGCAGCCAAAGCTTAGCTAGATATTTTAAACCAATAGTCTTCATCTGTGCAGCTCCTGGCCACGTACATGTTCCCTCTCCCAGTTTTCCCTCCCCCTCCTCTAACTTCTACCCTTAACTTCTCATTCTTTTGGACCAGTTCTTATCCCAGCCTGGCTTTTGTTGTGTAGTTGCCTATTATCTTCTCAGGCCCCCCGTCTCTTCCTTTTCCAGGGGCCTTCCACCCCTTTTTTCTCCAAAGACCATCTGCCTTCCCTGTCCCTTTGTCACCTAAACACACAGCCAACAGCAGCCAGAGACCCTTCTTCCCACTGTGTAGACCTTCTGTGAAGTTGGGAAGCTCGACCATCCATGGGCAGAGGCTTCCTCATCATGACTACAAAAGCCCGAGTGCATTGCACTACTGGTGGACCTCCTGGTGGCACCTGGTATTTTTGGCCACTGTGAGACACAGAGTGTTGGACTGGATGGGCCATTGGCCTGATCCAACATGGGCTTCCCTTATGGTCTTATGATTACACCTCATTTAAATCATGCTTTGCTTTGTGTTCCCTAAAGTGAAAAATAAGTGAGCTTACGTGTGTCAATGGGGCCAAGGCACAGTAAAAATAAACTCCAGCTGCCTTGATTCAAAAGGAATCCCACATACTTGACTCTGGATTGTACCATAACATATAAATCTCCAGTGTATCAAATGTTTAAAAAACCAAATAAACCAATATCCAGTTTACAAGTGAGAGTCAACATTGGGCAACTACTTTCTTTGTAACAATTTGTTTCTCCCCCCTTCTATAATGGAGAAATATGGATACTTTGCTTACTAAGGTTACTAAATCAGATATAAAGGTTCTGGAAACCTGGGAGCTGCTGTCTCAGCAGTTTTATCCACTGGAACAACAAACAACTGCATACAGATCTGTAGAAACTTTCCATCAGGGTTTAGCTGGGCCTCTGTATAGTAAAAGCCTCTTCCCATATAGGAATTCTAGATAAACACTGTAATTTGATATAGCTTCTGCTACAGTCAACTAGACAACAAAAATGTTCACAGACATTTGGTGTGTGTGTGGGGGGAGAAGCGTGTGTAGCCCTCCCAGCACCTGAGGGCGTGTAGCAGTTGCTGAACAAGAGTGGTGTGGAAGTACATGGCTACAGGAATACACGATGCCGTCAGCTATGTTCTGGAAGCTTAAATGTACATGCACCTGACTGCATCCCATCTAGGTATCTTACACAGAATGCTACGTCAGATGCAATCTTGGATCGCACCTGGAACCACAAAAAGCTTCCCAGTGTCCTCAGGTGGTGGGGAAGCGTAAAAACAAGGGAACAATGTGTGCTAGTGACTCATAAACACAGCTACAGGCTAGAGGTATCACAACTATCAGAAGCAGGACTTCTCCAGGCACTGCCCTGCACTCCCACTACATGCATCCTGGCCCAATATATTGGTTCTCCAATGCCCTACTATTCATCTCTTCCACACTTACCACAATAATCCCTGCCCTATAATTCTGCGAGAAGAATTGGAAAGATTACAAAAATGTAAACAACAAAGTTACTTTGCACGACGGATTGCAGAATTTGGTTACAGAATTTGGGAGGTTTTCTGGCTTATAAACATTGCAGAAATATAGAGTTACTGGTCATTATAGCATAAGCTTCATTGCTTGCTCTGAAGACACACATATAGCATTTTGATTTAAGATACCTGTGGAAGTATCAGTAATTTATGTGGTATGGGTGTGTGTGCGATCAGCTGAGCAGATACACAGTAATAACAGATAAACAATGTGGGCATCAGGCACATTTGCCTCGCTCAAGCAGCCAGAGCTGCCAAGCTCCAAATGAAAAAAAGGTACTGGCAGAGAGACGAGCAAATGGATTGTTGGCTGACAGTGAAGGAGATTTAATTAAACTCTGATGTATTATTTTTACTTAGTTAATCACTGTAATTGTCACTGCAAGGGCTTTACACAGAACCAGGTCTGCATGTCAACGATGTCACTAATACAGGTGCTGGGAGAACCATGGTGCAAACCACGCCAGGATGGCTGGCCAAAAGGTGGCACAGAAGTCAGCAGGGAGGCAGAAAAGGGGTCATTAAGGCATAAATAAAGCCTCTGTTTTGTCCTTTCCCTCTTCAAAGGCATAGTAGATCAAGTGGAATCACTGTGTATCAGAACAGACTTAGACGTAATGTCGGGGGGGGGGGGAGAAAGTTACCTGTAGGAGATATGAGGGAATAGGCACCAATGCCTGAAAAGCGGCAGTGACTATCTTGCCACTCGCCCAGGAAAGAGGTATCGGAAAGATATTTTGCAGATGGAACTCCACTCTGCAGCTGCCCTCCACCACCACGGAAGGGTTCAAATGCTCATCAGAGGTGGAACAGCTGCATCTTTCATTGCTTGTCCACATCCCAACAAGACATACCTATGCCTACGGATGCATCAGATCTTGAGATGAGCAAGTCTACCACATGTGACATATGCGACAATCTGACGAAAAACACTTTCCCTCTTGAACGCTTATACCCAAAAAATCTTGGTATCAAAGGTGCTACTTGATTCACATTTACTGCTACCCTCTGAGACTATGAATGAATGGGGTATGAATGGGGTAGAAGGGAACAGGGCAAGCAGCAAATTTGTTTGCAGAGGACAACCTAGCATGAAGGCAGCCAACAATTAGTTATAGACCTTTCACAGAATTAGTTTCAAGCAGCAGCTTCTCACAGATTTGACTGGGGGAAAATAGGGAAAGCATCAAATCTGAACATTCTGCAATTTAAAAACTATGGGAAGAGACGATCCATCTACAAGGAGAAAATGGAAGATGCTTTTATTTTTATTTTTTATAATATATTTATTGGATTTTAATGCTTAGTCACACACAAACATATAAGACAACAAACAAATCCACATTGCAAATGCTTTCTTCGCACATCACATTAATCATATACTTTACTTATACCTAAATGAGTTATAAATTCCTAAAAGAGATTTCCATTACTTCACCTCACTAGTTATTCTGATCATAATACTTTTCAACTGAGATATTTCTGCTATAACTCCATTTCTCAAAATAGATTGTTAAGTAAATCACCCCTATATTTCTATTTATATCACTTGGTTTTTTCTACTTTTGAGATAGCATACTCAAATCATACAATCACCTGCCAATTACCCTACCTTTTACTTTAGTAATTCCTGTTAACTACCACACTAATTTCTAACATCAATACCCTTGCATATATAGTGAAATAACCAAAAATACTAACCTCAATCACTTTATATCATCACTAGCCGTAAAGCCCGTTGAGGAGGAATACAACGGGCCCTAGAAAGGTAGGGTTGGTGGGTGGGCCATGGAGAGAACAGGTCTAGCCACCATATTCCAGTGTATTGGTAGACCTGGTGTCTGGAGAACAGGCCTACCCACTCCATTCCACTGTATTGGTAGACCTGGTCTCTGGAAGTTTACCCACCGCATCCCACCACAGTAGTAGACCTGGCCTATTCAGTGGCACAACGGTCCTGATAGTGGAATGGGGTGGGTAGTCCTGTTCTCCAGAGGCCAGGTCTACCAGTATAGTGGAAGGGGTTGGGTAGACCTGGTCTCCAGACGCCAGGTCTACCCACATAGTGGTTTGTGGTGGGTAGACCTGGTCTCCAGAGCCCAGGTCTACCAATACGGTGAAAGGGGTTGGGTAGACCTGGTCTCCAGAGGCCAGGCCTACGAAGATAGTGGAAGGGGGTTGGTAGACCTGGTCACCGGAGGCCAGGTCTACCCACATAGTGGATTGGGGTGGGTAGACCTGGTCTCCAAAGGCCAGGTCTACCCAGACAGATAGGAAGGAAGTAAAAGAGGAGTGTTGGGGGGGAGAGGCGGGGGAGAGGAGGCCGCGGCCTTCTCTCGCCGGCCGGGGACTGGCGAGGGGGGGGAGAGGCGG